TTTATAAATAGGCTCCTACCAAAGTTTTTTCTAAAGAAAAAGCAAGGTTTCCAATCCCTGCTTTCTCTAAGCCATTTTTGACTAATGTCTCTTGGTTGTCAAGGACACAGTAAGGTCATTAAGACTGTCATCATGCTTATTTCCATATTATATTCCCCAAAAGGCAGAGCTGGTGTCAGATTCCTGGAGATAGTGTGTGGAAAAGAATAATAGGAGACTTGCAAATGCTTATGGAGGTACTAAAATATTCTGTGTGCTTTTCATATCTTGAAATTTTCAAAAAGTCAAACTTTTGCTATGGCAAAGGACTGCAACAGGAAAATTTTCTAGAATCTAAATTTGAGCTAAGATTTATTCCCCAGAACTCAACTCCTACTTTCAGCTTATTTCAATCATACTCTTTTTATGCCCCCTTCTTCAACCCCAAGTGGGGAAACTGATCAAACGCATTCTGCACATACCACTGAGCCCACAGATTCAGCCTCCCAGCTGCAGTACTAACCTCACAAATTCACAGACCATCTCCAGTTTCCAAAAGTGGAGCAACTTTCTGGACTAGAGTAATATGCTGGACACACCTACTATTCTCGGCTTGCCTGACTTTCACATCTCTGTCTTATAATCCCTGAGACACCATCTTTCTGTCAAATCAGACTATTGGATAAAACAGATTTCTGTTTAATAGAAAGAGCTTCCCTCTGTACTCTTCTATCCTCCCCCACACACACACACACACATCACATCACAATTTCGTCTCCATATCCACTACTGTTTTACATCAGTTGCCCGATTTCTCTGTCATGAAGTGGTTGGGACATCGTCAGGTTTTCAGCCGGCAAATAAACTGGCTTTATGTAGTCTGTGTGTGAAGAGTTTGGCAGATGAAAATTCAGAAATGCTGCCAATGAGGCAAATGTTTAATCTTGGAGAAAGCTCTTCACACGAATGCAGTTGACGTAGAGGAAAGGAAACCACAAAACAACAGGGCAATAACATTAAAGACTGGTTTACACACACCAAAAGAAGAGGAAATTCAGAGCCGACTTCCACATCCCTTCTTATAATTTATCACAACAGGATGAATTATGCAGCTGGTGTTTCCTCTATGAGACTGGAAAAAGAGCAGAAATTTCAAAATCAGATGAACACAAATGGAGTAAAATGTCTGGTTATTCTTTGCACCTTGATAGTTATCTTCCATATAAGGTTCTCATAATATATTTGCAACAATTAGTCTTCCTATTTCATAGCTGGGAAAAGTAAGATCCAGGCCAATAAATTAATCCCTTCAAACACGCTGAAAATCAGAGCCACAGAATTGAATTGCAACTTTTTTTTCTCACAAACTGTTATAAAAATCACTTTCTGGGGAGCATGCTTTTCTCAAAAAGAAATTGGCTTTTATTTTAAAGTATTCAATCAGTCAAATAAATCTATAGATTATTGCAACAATAACAATATGTTTTAGACCAAATTTTATTTTATATGTAATAATTTGAAAATTATTTCATGATACTTCTTTCCCTTTACCAACTCACTTTCTAATTCCAAAGAATCCATAAAATTTGTAAGGCATAATTATATCTATATTCTGAGAATGACTTTTTATTCTTTTCAGTCAGACTTAAAAAATCATAAAACACTGCCCTAAATCCCTAATACACAAAAATAGCTTAAATAGTTCAGATAAAATTCATATCTATTTAAACAAGGTATGTACGTGTATGTACCTGTTGGGAGTTTCGTTTGATTTGTTCTAAGTAATGCTTAAATTTCTACCAAGGTAGAAATTGTGAGAGAGTTTCCCCCATCTATCCCAAGATCCTCTCTGTCTCTTTTTCTATTAAATGTGTCATCACAAGAACCTGAATTTTTTGAACCAGCCCACCAAAAGTTATACACATAGAAACTATACTGAAGTCAGGGCTTCTGGGATCCAAGTCTGCCTTGGAGAAAGATTTATCCAGAGTGGTTTCCTGCAGCATAGCTAGAAAAGAATTTGGGTAACAATCAAGGAGGGAGTAAAGAGCCTCCCTATGAGACTGTGCCAAGTCTGATCTGAAGGGACAAATAAGACCTCTGAAGAAGAGAATGTGTAAAAAGGTCAAAAGTCAAGAAGAGAAGGACAGAAAGCACAGAAGATCCGGAGGTGAACCCTTCCTATGCCACAGGGCCAGCCAGCGAAGAAGGGAGAATGAGGGTGAAAATATTAAAAGATGCCAATGCTCCCATTTGGGTGCAGCCAGATGACTGACTGTGGCACGCACGCACACACACACGCACGCACACACACACACGACAAACAAAGAAAAACACAAATAAAAACCAGTCATACAGAAGCAAAGAGCTCCAAACAATGCTGAAAGAAAGTCAGGTAAAGGTCAATAAATGTTCACGTGAAAAAAAAATTTTTTTTAATTACTGCTGATTCTCAATGCAGAATAAAGGTAAAATAAAGACATTTTTAAAATAAGAAAACCAAAAGAGTTCACCACTAGAAGACAGGCATCAGAGGAATTCTAAAGGGTGTTCTTTGGGCAAAAGGAAAGTAGTCCCAAATGGAAGGATGAAGATACAAGTAGGAATAAAGACCACTAAAAAATGGGATGTTGATTAACCTAAATGATTACTGACTATCTAAAAGAAGAACAGTGCTAGAGTTAAGCTCAGACCTCAGAAAAACATGGGATGCAGGGAACAGGATAAAATCGAAGGAACTCTCAAGAAGGATGATGAAGAGACATTTCCAGGACGGTAGCTACACTGGAAAGAGAGAGCAGTTAGCTGAGATTGGAACAATCTTACAGGCTCACGTTGAGGACTTTGCCACATATTTCCTTTTCATCATGAGTTGAGAATGTCTGGCTGAACCAGCCCAGACTTTTATCTGAGTAAGTTATGGCTCTCCATTCCATGTGCCACAGCCTAAATCGGCTCAAGACATTCAGTTCACTTCCCAGAAGTGTTCTTCTTTGATTTGCTCCTGAGAGCTGGACGTAAGCTTGGAAGCATAGCAGCAATGTGTAGTGTAGAAGCAAAAAATAAAGAGCAACTTACTCCCACCACTAAATATTTTTTCTATTAAACATGTAGAACCAAGCCCACAACACAGTCCTGCTTACTGGCCCAATTCCAATATTCCAGCCCAATGTTTTCCACGATCCACTCAAGATCTTGCCCAAAGACTTCTCCAGAGGAGAGGTCTTGTAAACTTTCAGGGAAGCTACAGCTTGATTGTGATTATACAGTTTTGTTCACTCATCTTTTCCCAGAAGCCTCTATCTCAACATGGTAGTATTATCCTTTCCCTACACAGCTAGGTTCGTGCTTCTTACCATTTTCCAATAGTAAGCAATATGTTGTGTAGCAATACAATATATAACTGATAAACCTATAAGGAAGCATTAGAGAAAATAATTTTTAAAAAAGTAGGATAATAGTTACCTCTGGGAAGCAGGGAAACGATATAACTGGGGAGAAGATCACAAAGGCTTTTAAAATTCTGGCAATATTTTTCTTTAAGATTTTATTTATTTATTTATTTGAGAGAGAGACAGAGATAGCGAGAGAGCACTCTCTGCTCTCTCGCTAGGGGAGGGGAGGAAGAAGCAGGGGAGGAGAGGAAGAAGCAGGCTCCCTGCTCAGCAGGGAGCCCAATACACCAACACACACACTGGGCCTGATCCCAGGACCCTGAGATCATGACCTGAGCTGAAAGCAGACACTTACCCTGACTGAGCTACCCAGGCACCCCAGTCCTGGCAATATTTTTATTTCTTAATCTGGGTGATGAATAGTCATGTTCATTTTAATAAAAATCTTTACATTGTTCCTATCAATTCTGTACACAGCCAAAAATAAAAGAAGAAAAGTCACATGGCTCTCTCATCAACCCAAACTTACAGCACCTAGTATTTGCTTGCCCTTCTCTGGAATCCTGCCACCACCATGGTCTAAACCACCCTCATTTCTTGCCTGGAATACAAAAATTTCCTAATTTGTCTCTCTGCTTCTACTCCTGACCTCCCTACATTGTGTTTTTCACACAAAAGCCAGAGTGATCTTTTTAAAGCCTAAGTTAGGTCTTGTCACTGCTACTCAAAACCTCCAAGGCTCTCACCCAACTCAAAGAAAACCATGGGGTGCAGGGCCCAAAATGACCTGACTCTCTGCTTTCATCTGCTAGCTCACCTCTTCCACTTCCAATCACATTGGCTTCCTTATCACTTCTAAATACACCCAGCACACTCCTACCTCAAAAGCTGGCTTTTTCATCTCAAGATATCCATATAGCTCACTTTTCTCCTTATTCAGACTTCTGATCTATCACTTCTTGTCAGAAAGGCTTTCCCTAACCATGTATTCTTTTTAAATATTATTCCCCTGACTTGCTTTATTTTCTTCTTAGAACTAATTAACATAAGACCCATGTATTTGCTTGTTTCTTTATTATCTTTCTTTCATAACTAGAATGTAAGCTCCATTAGGCCAGAAACTTTATCACTTTTGTTCACTGTTGAATGATATCTGGTAACATAGTCAGAGTCTTTTTAATATTTGTTGAACAAATGAAGGCTATTCTTTTATTTATCCACCTTAATCTAATCTCAGCCAAATTTCCCAACAAGTCCTAGTTTTACTGGACTTTCTTTTCTTGTTTTCTTTCCTTGGGGGGTGGGGATTGATCATAGACCTTGATTATGATTATGGTCTTTATCATTCATTAAGCAGCCTGCACAAATCATTTTCTTTTCCTCTGCCTCAAATAGCAGCAGCTGCATCCAAGCCCAAGATGGAAAAACACAACTACAGGAAAGACTTGTAGAGAAAAGCCAACAGGTGAGATCTCTGCTTCTCCCAGCTTAGGTGAAGGTAGAACAGGAGAAGTATCTAAGTATAATATTCCAAATACTCTGTTCTTCAAAGCTGAGGCCTGCAGGACAAGAGCTAGCTAGCTGAAGGATGCAGGTGAAGGCTCACAAAACTGCCCAACTCGGCCATCAAGCCAAAGTTCCTTCCAGAAAAGCAAATTCATCCACAGCTTCTATTTCATTATCCAAATCTCTCCTCTGGAGGGTTTTCCTCTTTCCTTGTTGAGCACAGCAGTAGGCACTGTTTGCAATGGTCTCCGAGGCTTGTGCCAGAATAAAGATGGCTTCCTGTCCCTCGAGGGTCACGTCGAGGTCCGCCTCTACGAAGGCCTTCACTTGCGCCAGAAGCAGCCTCCAGCTAAAAGCCCGGGCGCACTCCAATAACAGGGCTTGGGGCTATGGCACCGCTGCCTCCCCCCGTGGGCCCCTCCTCCGCTTCCCCCAGACGGCGTCCCACTTCCAGGCCACTGCCATCTGGCTGGAGCATGCTGTGCAGGGCCGCTCTTTATCGGACTTTCTTATTGTCCACTCAGGTTCTTAACAAATGATCACTGGAAGCAGACCGATGGCATGTCAAATAAATCACTCAGGCAAAAATTTCAAGTTCACAAAAGCAAGAGACTATAAAGATATTGGTGAGCTTTGAAAAATCCAGATCTGGATTATGTGCTTAAGAATAAAAATAAGCAGAGCATAAAAAATATAATTGGAGAAAATAAATACAACTATGAGCCATGCATGGAATGTTTAACTGACTTTAGTTTAAATCCACACCTCTAGGGAAAGAGGCCATTTAAGTTACAGAATAGAAAAAGACATACCCTCAGCCATACTCAGCCAATAACTATATTTAAGTGACTACGAAAATAAACAGGAGGAACAGAAAGGAAAAGTACTTGAGATTTAAATTGTAACAAATCGTAATGCATTTAGTTGATATCATAGACTATTGAAAACAAAGTAAATTTTAAGGAAGGATTCACAGCCATATTGGGAAAAAAAATCAGTTAATACTACTTCAAAATTTATTGCTACATCTGTTTTCTTTATTTTTGTCTTTTTTTTCCCTCCAGTAGAAAAGCTCATCCCTAAATTTGAATTAGTTGGCTTTTGCTAGACCAAAAATCTTACTTCTTAAGTCCTGTTGAAGACAGACAAGCAACCAAAAGATGATACCATTTACTCAGGTCAACAGGTGACAACCGGTGAAAACTTTCTTTAAGGTTCAAATATTTCTTTCTTTTTTTTTTTTAAAGATTTTATTTATTTGAGAGAGAGAATGAGATAGAGAGAGACAGCATGAGAGGGGGGAGGGTCAGAGGGAGAAGCAGACTCCCTGCCGAGCAGGGAGCCCGATGCGGGACTTGATCCTGGGACTCCATGATCATGACCTGAGCTGAAGGCAGTCACTTAACCAACTGAGCCACCCAGGCACCCCAAGGTTCAAATATTTCTTGACATAATACAGCTGGATTGCAAGAGCTAATTAACACCTTGATTACTTTTCCATTACATTCCATTATTTTAGACATAGGTTAATATGTCTTTTGGCTAATGTTTTAAAAATTCAGATTTTTCCATTAGGAACATAAAATTCATTACCATCACTTAGCCATATTTCTTCCCCATGATATTTCTGTTTAGGATTTTTTAATATTGACATATGAAATTTTCTATTTTAGGAAAACTGGACAAATAATTTTTCGTCTATCCCTTAACACTGAAGATCATTTTTAGGGTTAGTAATAAGGTAACATAAATATACTATTTTAAGAACAGCTCCTGGCTGCTACTGGGCTCTAGTAGAGATGAGCGTCTGATTGTGGGTCAAGAGATCTTAATTCTAATCCTGCCTCTAGCAATAATAACTAGTAGCTCTATCACTTTCAGGAAAGTCATTTAATCTTTGTGTATCTTGGTTTTTTTCTCATCTGTAAGAGGGCTAGAGAAGGACTAGGTTGCCTTCCATCTTTAAAATTATATGAATCCATATTTTGTTTTGTCTGGCATGGTTTGATGCATTCCTGATCTGAATCTGTACAATTATAAATATATGTGGCCCTAACAACAGAGCTCAAAATACATGGAGCAAAAACTATCAGTACTGAAGGGAGTAATTCAAAAATAATAGTTGTAGGTTTCATTATTCCACTTTCAAAAAAGGGTAGAACAACTAGACAGAAGATCAGCAAGGAAATAGAAGGCCTGAACAACGTTTTATTTTATTTTTTTTTAAGATTTTATTTATTTATTTGACAGAGAGAGACACAGTGAGAGAGGGAACACAAGGAGGGGGAGGAGAAGAGGGAGAAGCAGGCTTCCCACTGAGTAGGGAGCCCTATGTAGGGCTCGATTCCAGGACCCTGGGATCATGACCTGAGCCGAAGGCATACGCTTAATGACTGAGCCACCCAGGAGCCCCTTGAACAACATTTTAGACCAACTTAACATAACGTATCTAGAAAACACTCCATTTAACAATAGCAGAACACAACATTCTTCTCAAGTGCAGATGGAACATTCTCCAGAATAGGCCATGTATTAAGCCATAAAACAAGTCTCAATAAATGTAAAAAGATTGCAATTATACAAAGTATATTCTCTGGCCATAAGGAAGTAAATTAGAAATCAATAACAAAGGGAAATTTGGCAAATTTACAAATATGTGGAAATTATAAGTATGTAGAAAATATGTGGCAATTATAGCACACTCCCAATCCTTTTCAAAATCTCAGCTGTCTTTTTTTTGCAGAAATTGACAAACTAAAATTCATAATAGCCAAACAATCTTGAAAAAGTATAACAAAGTTGGAGGACTCATACTTTCCAATTACAAAGCTATGAACTCACCATAAAGCTACAGTAATGAAGACTTCATGCTATTGGCATAAGGATAAACATATAGATCAATAAAATAAAGATCCCAGAAGTGAACCTACGTATTTATGCTCAACTGATTTTGACAAGGGTGCCAGGATCATTCAATAGGAGAAAGAACAAGCTTTCTAACAAATGGTAGGTCAACTGGATATCCACATTTAAAAGAATGAAGTTGGACCCCTATCCCACACCACATACAAAAATTAACTCAAAATGGATCAAAGGCCCAAATGTAATAGCTAAAACTATCAAAATCTTGAAAGAAAACAGGGAACTAAGTCTTCATGTCCTTGAATTAAGCAATGATTTCCTCGATACAACACCAAAAGCACAAGTAACCAAAGAAAAAATAGACAAACTGGATTTCATCAAAATTTAGAAATTCTTGCTTTAAAAGACACTATCAAAAAGTGAAAAGATAAACAACAAGATGGGAGGAAATGTTTACAAATCATATATCTGAAAGTGATCCACTTTCTAAAATAGAGAACTCTTGCCACTCAATAATGCAAGACAACCCAATTAATAAATGAGTGGAGGATTTGGATAGACATTTCTCCAGAGAATATACACAAATGACCAATAAGCACATGAAAAAATGCTCAATATCCTTAGTCATCAGAGAAATGCAAATCAAAACCACCATAAGACAACACTTCACAAGCATCAGATGGTTATAATCAAAAAGACAGATAATAACAAATGTTGATGAGGATGTGGAGAAATTGGAACCCTCAAACACTGGCGGTGGGAATGTAAAATAGTGCAGTTATTTTAGAAAACTACTTAGCAGTTCCTCAACAAGTTAAACACACTGGTATCATATGACTCTTTAACTCTACTTCTATGCATATATACCCAAGAGAACTGAAAACACATGTTCACACAAAAACACGCACATGAATGTTCCTTACAGCATTACTTATAATAACCAAAAAGTGGAAATAACACAAATGCCCATCAACTAATGGAAGGTTAAACAAAATGTGATACATCCATGGAATGGATATATTTCATAAAAAGGAATGAAGTACTGATAGGTGCTACAAGATGGGTGAACCTTGAAAGAAACCAATCACAAAAGGTCATAGATTACATAATTCCATTTAGATGAAATGTCCAGAACAGGCAAATCTATAGTGACAGAAAGTAGATACTGGTTGCTGAGGGCTGGGTGAGGACAGAAAATACGGGATAACTGCTAATGGGGATGGGATGTCTTTTGCGCGGAATGAAAATGTCCTGGAATTAGATAGTGATAATAGTTGCACAACCTTCTGAATATATTTGGAACTACTGAACAGCACACCTTCAAAAGGGGAATGTCATGATATGTAAATTAAACTTCAATTAAAAAAAAATCCAAATCTGCAGAGTAACAAGTTGTGTAAAATGCACTATATTCTGGGGTGTACTCTGCTGTGACACACGCAGAGTGGAGGTAAAGCAAAGAGGACAGACAGGTGGAGGTATATTGCTAGAAAATGAAAAACATCAATATTTTTTTCCTTCAGGCAGAAAAGTTTCTATACACCCATGACAAGGAGGTTAGTGACTATATCCAGAACTGATGTAGACTGTGAAAAATGAAGTGCCTAGTATTCAGATATGCTTTTTTTGTAGTTTTAAGACCAAGAAATGGAAGGAGTTTCAATTCCTAGATCACACGTTTTTTACTGAGCAAACAAAAGTCTGGGATAGTTATATTTAATTTAAAATCTGTGCCCCTCCTCAATCAGGTCCTTTAGCCAAAGACGTGCTGTGACATTTTCCCCTGTCCTAGTTATCAGGTCTTTATAAGCTGAGAAAAAAGGCCTGTCACCAAAAAAAGAGAAAGTTAAAAAAGACTTTGTATTTGAAAAGTTTCTACTTTGATTTTCAAAAAATAAAATTTCCAATAGCTTTGTACTTTTACTGTGAAGAAAATACATACCATTTCAGGATAGTAGTTACACCCAGAAAGAAAGGGAGAGAGAAACAATGGGCAGGGGTTGGGGGTGGGGGTGGGGGGCTCTATCTTTAACATTGTGCTTTTATAAAGACAGAGAGAGTGCTAAAGCAAAGTATTTGCATTTGTTTAATTTTAGTGATAGGTATATGGGCCTCTGTTATTTTAGTTTTTGAACTTTTTGGTATGTTTGAAATATTTTTAAAATATTAAAAATTAAAAATGTTCAAAAACAATTTTTAAATTATTTGATATTAAAACATGATATATTCATCACTGTAATAATATTTTCTCATCATGAACACATTTTATGCTTTTTAAAATTATATCAAATTTTTAATTTTGTTTTATGTTTTCATCATGAAAAGTGTACTCTTTAATCCCCATCACCTATTTCCCCCATCCCCCAGCCCACCTCCCCTCTGGTAACCATCAGTTGGTTCTCTGTAGTTAAGAGTCTGTTTCTTGGTTTGACTCTCTTTTTTTTTTTCCCCTCTTTGTTTTGTTTCTTAAATTCCACATATGAATGA